GTCAAATGTACTATACAAACATCTGGAAGAAAGTATTTTTAGCAGAAGAAAGAGAAGTGCAAAGGCCCTGAAGTGAAAACATACTGGTAATACTCAAAGGATAGTAAGGAGGCCAGTGCTGAATTAAATGGGAAAGGGTAAGAAATGAGGTCAGAAGTAGCACAGGATACTCTGGCCATAACAAGGGCCTTGAAATTTGTCTCACGTGTAATAGGAAGCCACTGGAGGCTAATGAGTAGGAAAAGGAGAGAAATATTATCTGATCAGAAAGCAGTTGAAGTTATTTATACAATAATAGGGTTTGAAAGAGAACGAGGAAAACTCTGGGCTAGTTTATTAAAATCTTGATAATGAGGGATGACTGTGAGATGAGTAGGTGAGAGCAATGAGAGACAGAGAATGGCACAACTAAGCAGAATAGGTCTGAAAGAAGCAAGCCCTCTACTAGCACTAGCGGATTGTATTTATGCCTAGTGTTCCATTATTGGAACACAGAGCATGTGGGAGTTATTTATATCCTACCGCTCAAGGTCATTGCCAAGGTCTGATTGTAGGAATTAAAAAAATTACAACTGCAGTCATAAATGGGTTAAGAGGACACATGATGAATAATACAAAATCCCTGAGGAATCTCTCAAGAAGCTTTCATTTTAGTCATGATGAATGAAACGAAATGACTACAGAGTGTCTTCATTTAATCAGAATTATGTGGCCTGAGTGTAAATGTATTTATTTGCTATGTTTAAAGTAGCATCTTTCAATCATAATTATAAATCATCACAATGTTAGGAGCTTTTATGACTATCAAACTTTTCATACCAAAAGAGCACATAAATTTTTGGCAGAAGCTTCACGATCTTCTACTTTGGTAATGTTCTCCAAGGAGCTGGAATGCAATTATATACAACACATGTACTGGAGTTCCAATTACTCGGAACATCTTCATATGAAAATGATTTTTTGTGATTTTACATAAGACATCATTCTTAATTTGGAGTATCTATATTGTAAAATGTGTACTTGCTTCCAGACTGTTCTGTAAGTCCTAGAATATGTCCTCCCTTGAATTTGCTTGGCCCCACTCGCACGCCAACAACCCCACTATCGCCTCTCACCTCACCCCCGGCTTTAGCCACTTGCCTTGTAGCCCCAGAAAAGATACACACAGTTTCTGCAGTTATAAATCTTCCCAGAAAACAGCGACAAACCACCATTCCAGTTCATAGCTCCAATAGGACCAAGTAAAGCTCTGTCTCCCCAACAGCTCCTCAAAGAGGCCAGGAAACACAACTAAGAAGTGTGGAAAAGTTAAATACCCCAGAAGTAGACACTAACCAATAATGAGACACAGAAAGAAGCCAAAAGATACACTATTCATCCTTAAGCCCCCAACCATGAGCTGTTCTGAAGTTCAAGTGGTTTCATGTGGCCTCTGAGGCAAATTCCTACAAAAGCAGGCAACCAGTTGTATTTTCTCAGTAATACACCACCTTACATCGTTGGTTCTCATTATTCACAGTAGTTATGTTCTATAAAGTCAATGTGAACACTGAATTTGTGAATAATGAACCATTGCTCAACGGGAAAATACAGAATTAGGTTCCTGAAAGCCTCTGGCAACAACATTCTGGTCAATGGATCACAATCTTGTTTCATGTGTGTTTCTGTTTAAAGAGGCTTTTTCAAATATATTGTTGATTTGTTAACACTGAACTCACAGCCTACTGTAGTATTCACAGTATTCCCACTGGTGCCCAAACGAAGCTTATCTAACCCATGTATGGCACATGACAGTCTTCTATACCTAGGAACACTAAATAGCACTTTAGCAATACAGCTGGGCTATTTTAAACACTGAAAGCACCAACAAAAAGCACAAAAGTATGACAAATGTGGCTCTAAACAGAATACAAAAGGGACAATTATTTGCAGTAGAGAGCTGAAACAAGAAGGCAGAGTATCACCTTGTTCAACCTCAGTTGGGAAAGTGCATCACAAAACGCAAATTTTTCCATTCCTAAGCACATGTCTGCAACTAACCACAAATGCACCATAAGTACTGATTCTGGGGTTGGAAACACATTTTATCAAGTCGGCAAATTCATAAAAAATAGAATCCAGGAATAAGAAGGATTGACTGTATTTTCTCTTATCGTCTCACTTACTTTCCCTTTCCCCTTATTCTCTCTTCTCTGAAAATGTACTCTTCTCCCTTACCTCCAGTAAAATATTAGCCTATGAACTTCACCCAAGGCTCTGTTTTCCAGGGAATGCAGGCGAAGACACAAATCTTAGTTCAGTGTGTTCAGTAGGCTTGCTGCTTAAATAAAAAAATAATTTTTTTTTCTCATTGGCAAATATATACCTACTTTATTTCCTAATATACATTTTCTCACGAGATAGTGGCAGTATGTATTTCTCTACTTAATGATTAAAATGTTTTACAAAATTAAACTATAGCAAAAAGTATACTTAATTCCCACTTTATTAAGTATGTAATGTTGTCTTAAAAGATAGTACAGAAGCAAATTTTTTGCTTGGTTGAAAATTCACTAAAGCATTTTAAGGAGGTCCCAAACACCTATTATTCATATTTTCAAGTAATTTAATTTGATATAGAAAATAATAAATCTTAGAAAAACTAAAAATATTCATGGTCCATGCAGATCACATTTTATTGAAGAAACAGTTTAAAGGTTGAAAAGGGCATAGAACAAAATGAATCTTTTTATCCAAAATACAACAAATTTATTAAGCACTTAGAAATATATTTGAGAATAATAATGAAGGAGAATATCACAACTAGGTATGACAATTTTAAAGACTTTAATAGGGTAAAAATATATAACAATATACTTCTACGATCAATGGAAAAGTATGAAAGGCCTGAAAAAAGAGGTAATAATTTTGTATAAGCTATAATTGGAACTTCAAATCAGTAGAGGGTAGGATTGGCATTCATTGGAAATTTTGGGAAAAAATATGAAACTAAATAAATGTCAAGATATATTAAAAATAAATATAAAAAGCTATTGATAAAACAGAAGAGAGCTGGGAGAAAATACAGGTGGATATTTTTATTAACCAGAAGTAGAAAAAAAATCTTTCTAAATGTAAACAGCAGAGAAATATGAAGGAAAAAGTTCATAGATCTGAATACATAAATATTTAAAGCCGGTAAAAAAGAAATTTCCCAAGTAAAAATATGGAGAAAACATTTTCAAAATGAGGATAATATTAAGATCTTTGATACATATATATATATATATATATATATATATATATATATATATACACTGTGCTCTTATAAATAAGTTAGAAAAGATCATCACAAAAGAAAAGCAGGCAAATAATATAATCAATATAGATATAAAAATCACAAAGACGAAACAAAAATGGCAAAGCTGGGAGTGGAAAAGAATGTTCCATACCACTAGAAACCAAAGAAATACAAATTGAAACAATTCATTTGCTACCTATAAACTAGCAACAATATGAACCCAACTATCTGACAGTCCAATGACTAAAAAATGGTAACTATTATACACTTTGGGTTCAGCACAGTGATCCCCAACCTTTCCGGCATCAGGGACCAGTTTCCTGAAGGACAATGTTTCCGTGGATAAGGTTTGGGGCAGTGTGGGGTGATGGTCTCAGGATGAAACTGTTCCACCTCAGGTCATCAGGCATCAGTTAAACATCTCATAACAAACATGCAACCTAGATCTCTCACATATGCAGTTCACAATAGGGTTCACATCCTATGAGAATCTAATGTCCCCGCTGATCTGACAGGAGGCGGAGCTCAGGCGGTAATGTTTGCTCACCTACAGCTCAGCTCCTGCTGCACAGCCCAGTTCCTAAGGGACCTTGGTTCAGAGGATAAATGGTCCTTTTTCAGAAGACCATGTGGTAATGAGTATTGAAAGTCTTTAAAATCCTACCTAAACTTTGACCAGCTATTCTGAATTTAGGAATGAACTCTAATACAATTATTTCAATCTACATAAAGATATCCGTAACTAAAAATAATTTAGTTATATCTAAAAGTAATTTATAATAAGAAAAAATTGAAGAACAACCTAAAATTCCAAAAACAAGAATCTATTTAAATTGCTGTACAGCTTAGAAAATTTAATGTCCAGGTTAAATATTCACATTGTATTTGATTTTAAAAAGTGGTGTGTGTGTATGTAATATATCACTAATTGCCAGGCACTATTCTAAGCATTAAAAAAAAATAAATTCCTTACAATAGCCCATAATGAGTTAGGTATTGTTATTAGCTCCATTTTACATTGTTGTGTGATGTTTCAAAAAAATTGGAAAACATGCAGTAAACATATACCCATACACATTAATTAAAAAGACTCAAAGAGACTTTACAAAATAATAGTACTGGTTATCTCCAGATTAATATATGATTTTTATTTTCATTTGAATTTTTAAGTCTTCAATAAAAACATGTATTATTCTGTTATAAGGAGATTTGTTATTAAAAATAAAATATATGGAAAATCAACTCCCTTTATTATTTATATATAGAAATTTTCCTTGGGTTAAAACTTGAAGGAAATAATTCAACTGCCTTTTCCTAAGGCTGTGGCCAACAGGTGACAAAGCTTGTAATGGGTAATTGACTACCTAATACTTTCTGACCAGATGTATGTCATCCAATTTTGCCACACAATTTTGCAACCTTCCCAATGTACACCAACTGTATGTGATTTCTCAGATCCTAGGTAATGAAAAGCAACCTAAATCTTTATCACATTATTTGCACAAATATGTGCAAAGTATTTTGAGTCTATCACTCACTAGAGATTTGACTTGTACAAGTCACTTAACCTTTGAGCCTTGGTTTTCTCACCAATAAAAAAGGAAATAATACCTTCCTCAAAAGCCCACATACAAAATGTCTTAGTTCGTAACACTAGTTCAATAGCTAATTTTTTTTAACTATTTGGTAAATTTCTGAAAATTACACAGCTCTTACTTACCGACAGGATAATTCTCCGTCCATAGCATCATGCTCATCTGTACTGGTATATGTTAATCTTCCTCCTACAACTGTCCCAACTAAGTATACCAGCCATGCAAGACGTCCTAATACAGAATAAGAAATAAAAAAGTTTAAGAAGTATTCATAGAAACATAGCTTATTTTGGGGGAAATTCCAAAATTAGCACAATGATTTAGTCTTCCAAACAGGTAATAAATTATTGTGAACTCAGTTCTTGAAAGCAAGCAGATGGGTTTTAAGCCTATCAGGGCAGAACAGTGAAAATGGCATAGAATTTAGAGCCAAATAAAACTAATTTGAATCCCAGCTCTACTAATTTGCTATGTGATCTTGCATAAGTTACTTATCTCTTTAAGTCTTAGGGTTTTCATTTGTAAAATGGCAAAAACAATATCTACAACAAAGACATGATTGAAAATAAATTTGATTACAAAACACTAAACTGTCTAGGACCAGATCTGTTATTCAGTCAGAATGTACTCTTATGATCCAAAGACCAGTATCTTTTTTGAATGGTCAATGTCATGATAGTACCAATGTGATCATTTTAAATATTTCTCCTGCTTGAAGCATAATAGATAGTAATGAATTTACTCCTTCTGTATTTCTATGCATGATGTACAAAAAATCCAAGATTTAAATTGTTTGACAGTAGAGTTAACTTCACAGCTGACAGCAGTAGAGGATTAAATAGCTTTAAAACAGTGGCACAAATGGCAACATCTAGAGTCTTCATAAATCTTACTTTGGGGGCAGCTGAAATTGACTAATTTAGAAATGGAGGTATTTATTGAATAATTTTTGCTTAACGTATATTATTTTACATCTCTGGATTCATTGATCTAGGTAGTGGATCCTCCAGTACTTCTGAGACCTTTATAAATAATTAACAACATAAAATTACCTTGCTAAAAACATGTTTTTTGCTATTCTTAGAGAATGATTTTTCAAAGATGAGTGGCCTATTTCATAATACTGAAATCAACCATTTCTAATTAAGAAACCTTTTCAAGTAAAAATGTTTTTTAAAGTTATGGAATTGAACAATGAAGAAAAGAGGCTATCTGTGCTTGTTAGAACACTCAGAAAGAATAAATAAAAGGTAGAAAAAGAACACATTCTTTCTGTTTTCCCATGGATACTAGTGGTCATCATTACACTACAACTAATCAACAACTCTTTTACAATTTCTGGAGAGACACATCAACCTATTGGGGTGACAAGCTTCCTGTAAATTAGAAATTTAACCTGGCAAGTATTCACATCCTTTATTCTCTCACAAAACAACAATAAATCAGAACTGACCAGTTACGCAGCCTTACACATTAGGAATGTGAAACAGATTAGGAGAACAAGAACATTAATTTGATGAAGCAATCTATTAAAAAACAGACTCAAGTTTCAAGACATATAATTCATGAAAAAGGTAATGGAACAAAAAGTTCATGTAGGGAGCTGAAAGTATCCTGAAAGCTACCTTATGAATTTCAAAGTGTTTTAGGATCAATATAAAAGTCTATCATATAAGGTCTACCTTGATGACCCTGCTTTCTCTGTAGGCTCTAGCAAGTGGTAGCTGCTTTATCTTCCACTTCTCATGTGTCTTGGGCCTTGAATACAGAGTAGGTGATCTTCATGTTCCTCATTTCTACTTAGAGACATTTTTCTCTTTCTTCATCATGAAAGCATTCATCTTTACATCTTAAATCATCAACAACACTAACAAATATCTCTTCTCATTGCAATTATCTACTGTCCTGCAGATTACGTCCCATTTTTGGAAAGTATTGGTTTTTGGCTGTCACTCTTTCCAACAATATTTATATCATAATCACTAGTGATTTCAACATCTACAAAGATGAATCTTACAACTCCAACAATCCTTTGTTCTACTGGGAATCTTCAGTCCATGAGCCCATCACTTTTTGAACAGCTTCACTGAAATATAATTTACATACCAAACAATTAACCCCCTTAAAGTACGTAATTCAATGTCTTTTAGTAAATTAACAGGGTTATGCAAGCAGCACCACAATCTAATTTTAGAGCATTTTCATACTAGCTGTCATCCTTCATCCTACCATTCTGCCCCTAACCCCCAAGCAACCACTACATTGTTAAATATGGTCACCCTACTCTATCAAACATTAGAACTTACACTTTTTATTTAACTGAATTTTTTTTATGCTCATTAACCAATCTCTCTTCATCCTGCCCTCTCTGGCCCACCCACACACCATTATCAGCTTCTCCTATCTATTACTTTACTCTACTTCAAGGAAATGAACTTTTTATTATTACTATTATAATACTTTAAGTTCTGGAGTACATGTGCAGAACATGCAGGTTTGTTACACAGGTATACACATGCCATGGTGGTTTGCTGCATCCATTGCCCTATCATCAACATTAGGTATTTCTCCTAAGGTTATCCCTCCCCAATTCCCCCATGCCCTGCTATCCCTCCCCTAGCTCCCTACCCTCTGACAGACCCCAGTTTGTGATGTTCCCCTCTCTATGTCCATGTGTTCTTATTGTTCAGCACCCACTTATAAGTGAGAACATACAGTGTTTGGTTTTCTGTTCTTGTGTCAGTTGGCTGAGAATGATGGTTTCCAGCTTTATCCATGTCCCTTCAAGGGACAAGAACTCATCTTTTTTTATGGCTGCATAGTACTCCATGGTGTATATGTGCCACATTTTCTTTATCCAGTCTATCATTGATGGGCATTTGGGTTGGTTCCAAGTCTTTGCTATTGTGAACAGTGCCACAATAAACATATGTGTGTGTATCTTTATAATGGAATGATTTATAATCCTTCAGACATATACCCAGTAATGGGATTGCCGGGTCAAATGGTATTTCTATATCTAGATTCTTGAGGAATCGCCACACTGTCTTCCACAATGGTTGAACTAATTTGCACTTCCACCAACAGTGTAAAAGTGTTCCTATTTATCCACATCCTCTCCAGCATCTGTTGTCTCCTGATTTTTTAATGATCACCATTCTAACTGGTGTGAGATGGTATCTCAATGTGGTTTACTGTTGTTTTGTAGTAAATTCTGAAATTAAAAAAATATGAGTCTTCCAATATCATTATTTTACAAGATTATCTTGGCTATTTTGGATCTCATGGATTTCCATGTGAACTTTAGGACCAGTCTGTCAATCCCTGCAAAAAAAGTCACAGGATTTCAACATGGATTGCACTGGATTTGGAGATCAATTTGAAGAGTATTGCCATCTTAACAATATTAAGTCTTCTGATCCATGACTATGAGAAGTCTTTCTGCTTATTTAGATCTTTAATTTCTTTCAACACAGTTACCGTGTCAGTACATAATTCTTACACTTCTTTTTAAAATTTATGCCTATTTTATCCCTTTTGATAATATTTTAAATGGACTTCCTTTCTTCCTTACATATTCAAGTGCTGATTGTTAAAAAATAGACATACCATTGATTTTATTTATTGATCCTGTATTCTGAAAGTTTGCTGATCTCTTTTATTAATTTTTGGGAATCTGCCATTTCTTCACTCTCTCTTATACCCTTCACGTATTCTCTACTCTATGTATCTAGCTTAAATTCTATTGTCAATCATTATAAATCTCTGCCTTGCACTTACATTTAGTTCCTCCTTTGCTATGACATACTCATCTTACAAAACCATAACTGTTTATGTCCAATACACCACTACTCTTCACCGACATTCACACAGTTTAATATAACTGGGGAAAGATAAAACTATGCTGACCAGTCTTACCCTTGATGTCACCTTCTCAGGCCTTACCAAGATATACTATCAATTTTTAATACCTACCACGGTGGTCTGTCTTCAAATACTCATCACTGATTCCTTCCTTCCATATATATACGTGCCACCAAGAGGTGGAGTTTATTCTTCTAATCTTTGGAAATCTGGGCCGGACTGTAACTTCTCTGACCAATATAATTTGGTGAAGATGACACCATCCTAGTACGGTGCCTAACCTTTACAAGAAGTGGTAGATTCCTCCAGAATCTCAGAGAATGCTCACTCTGGGGAAGCTAGCCACCATTTAAGAAGACCATACACCCTGAGATTAAACTGTTGAGAGGCCCGATTTGTCATTTGGAGAGACTGAACAGAGAGAGAAATGCCCAACTAGATAGAGTATACATAAGCATTCCAGCCCACACACCAGACTAGTGAGTGAAGAAGCATTCAGGTAACTCCAGCCCCAGCTGTCATCTGATTACAATGACTGAAAGATCCCTAAAGACAACCATCAAAGACTTACCAACCCCCAGAACACTGAGAGATAATAACACAATTGTCATCTGATAAGCCATTAAGTTCTGGTAATACATAACACAATCCCCTCAACATTTCATATCCTCCTTCCTTGCTTCATTAGTTTACATTTTAGCACTTCACATTTCCTAACGTATTTTATGTATTGTAAGCTGCATGAAAGCAGGTGGTTTTGTCTGTTTTGTTCTCCATTGCATCTCCAGAGCCTAAAACAATTCTCTGTATATTTTACATTATCAACAGATACAGGTTATTGAATTAAGAAATCATTATATAGAAAATATAGCATGAAAAAGGAAAGAAAAGGTTACCATTACCAACTTAGTAAATGCTTTAATATGTAGACCCATTATTAATGAATGGTAACGGTAATTATATTTCTATTGCTTAAATTAAAATAAAAGCAATACAAGATATGATACAGCTGATCCTAATTATTCTATAGATTCCATTATTTGTGAATTTGCCTACTTTGTAAAATTTATTTATAATCCCAGAATCAATACTCACAGTCATCTGCAGAAGTGCAGAGTAGTGAAAATCTGTAGTTGTCCAGTACACATGTTTCAAGCCCAGGGCAAACAGTGGTAACTCTGCCTTCTTATTTCAGCTTCATAATGTAAACAAGTATGCCTTTAATGGTCTATCTACCACCACATTTTTTGTTTTTTGTTAGTGATTTCACTGTTTAAGATGGCCTAAGCATAATGATGAAGTGTTATGCAGTGTTCCTAAAGAAAACAAGCTTGTTATGTGTCTTACATAGAGAACACATATTAAAT